AACCTTGTGGCTGGTGGACAGATCCTCCGGTGGCTGCTCTCCAACTACATCCGCCGACAGCTTTAGCTTTGGCAATAGCGCTTCCGGTCCTTCGCAAGCGGCTTACTGAGCGGGGGAGCCGCCGTCTGACGTTCTCTCGAGCAAGAGAGCCCTAGCGGCGCTTTTGGTGGCGGGTTTTGAAGAAATCCACACGTTATGTTGGGGCCTTGGAAGAGCGCGGCTGGCGGACCGGGGCCCAGGCACGCACTACTGCCCTCGGCGGCCGCCAAGTGGAGGACACTTCTTGCGTGCGCGCAAAGGCTCTGCGCGCCCGCCAGGGTTTGTGGGCGAATGGACCGAGAGTATGCGCGGGTGTGGAGGCTCGCGCCGCGAGCTTCAGCGGCGAATCCTGACCTTCAGCACGGCGGCCCGAAGAGACTTCCATCGCTCTCTCGGATGGATTCGGTGGGATACGTTCTCATTCCTCATCCCGTGTTTATTGGAGGCTGCGAAGAACTAATCGGTGTGGTGCGGGGAAAAGATATACCGGGGAGGCTAATCCGCTGTGTGACCTTCCCGGAACCCAGGTGAAGCCCATCTAGATAGTACACGCTGGTTTCCCAAACCGAGGCTGTTATTTGTGCAGAGGGGTAGCGCATCGGCACTAGAGTGTAGCCGCTCCGGAGTGACTGTTGCTTTGGTTAAAGGGTTCGCAGGTGAACCGGGTGTGGAGGGGAGGGTAGCTCGCCGGGAGTTTTCGGAAAGGCAAGGGAGATGCTGGGCGGTGTGAGAACGGCTGGGAGCGCATCCCGGTGTCGCGCGGTTCCTGGGGCGAGGGCAGAAAGCCGTAATCAGCGAACAAGCGGAAAGGTCCTTCCACTATCGCGCTGTTCCCTTCGCACATGTGCTGCGAACTTAGGCTGGTACACGGAATGCGTGGCGCTGAGAACCGATCACAGGAGGCTGTTAATCGTCCCCACATAGGCACACGCGGGGCGGCGCGATGCGAGAGCTCCCTGGCAGGGTGCCAGACTCAGCTACGTGAGATAAACACACAGCGCCGGCTCTGCTACCAGGCGGTAGAGCGTTCGCTGGTCTCGAAAGGATCGCCGCCAGCCCTGTGAGAAGGCCCAGCAATGCGCGGAGAGCACGCGTTTTCGCGCTTGGCCGAGAACTCTTCTGCCCGCCTGCGTCTACAGGCAACGCGCCCCTTGTCGCTCGGGCGCAAGCAGAAGCCCAAGAGAGAGCGGCCAGCCCGGACCGCGGTCGCTAGTGTTCATGGCACTTGCTAGGCAGAGGCAGCTCCGCATCCACTCGGCACTGAGACACTGCATCCCGCTGAGAAAGCAAAACGCATGGCCTGCAGCAGGCGCCTTCGCTACTAGTTCATGGGTGAGTTGATAATGCGTTCGGCGCAGGCTGGATGGCGCGAGAGCCCTGTGCTTATATGTTGGCACGGAGGGGAGTCCGCAAAGCACGCGTCGCTCCAAAAATGAGGTTCCTCGAGAGAGTGCGCGTGATATAGGATCACCCCTGCTTTCCCCGCCAGCCGTATAAGTGCCTTCGGTGGTCGTCGTGTAATAGGGACGGCCGGGTGGCGGCTGAGGAGCGGCTGACGGGTAGACGACGCAGCCGCCGAAGGTAGTGGCCAGATATGGCGACGCCTCCTGCGGCAGCCGCCCGACTTCAGCACCTCCTCTGCTCAGGCTCGCGATCCTCCGTGGTCTCGAAGAGCCGCGAGCGCGCCGCCCCGCTACGCGGTGAGCTTCCCGGCCGGGGGGTGCTTGGCGGCGGGTCCCGGTTGCCCCTGCCACACCTACGCTAGTTTCGCGAAAGCACCGTGCCAGAAGGCTAGCAATGAGTAGATGGCCAACAATAGGGTGTCGCTAAGCCGCATCAGCGCGGTGAAGGTAAGGCGGAGGCGTTTTCCCGGTGTTAGCTGCTTTGCTGCCATGGGGTGATTGGCAGCCGAGTAAGCGGCTTGAAGCGGGTACTATCTGCCTGGCCACCATGATCCGGGCGGAGCAGCCCCTTGCTCACTACGGCCTCCGGGCCGGCCTCCCCCTCGGCGACGCGCTGTACATATATGAGGTGATCGGAGGGCTCCTTGCCCTCCGCCATCAGACCGCGCCCCGTCAGCTCCAGTCTCTATGCTCCCAACATCTAGCGGAGCGAGCTGGTGACCCTACGACCATACCGTGGTCCCCCAGGGGCTCCGGGCGGCTCGTGTAGGCCTATCCTTGTGGCTTTGGAGCTATTCCGATCAATGTGAGACGCATAGCCATATACCACCGACAGGGTCACCCCACTGTTTTGGTGAAGCCACGCTTGGCTACGACTGCTTTTCTCCCCGTACCTACTGTTTATAATAATACATAATAATAATAATAATAATAATATAATAATATAACTCAATTTATTATTTACTACCCGCCCATCTGGCTGGGCCCCCCAGCCACTCTGGGCGGCTTCCCATAAAAACCACAAATACAGTAATATCACACGTAAAACTTTCCCTGACAGGGCTGCCTTGAAGAATGTTCTTCTGAAGATGTCAGGTAGTGCTGTTTATCGCTTGTGGGACATCTGCTGGAGGGCGTTCCATCGATGGGCGGCGCCGCCAGCTTACCGAGAAGGCCCCTCTGCCTAGTTCTGTGAGGCTTTTTGCTTTCTCGCAATGAGGGAACAGCCAAAGGCCCTCAGGGCGTGGACCTCAGCATCCGCCGCAGAAATGATGGGGGTGGAGACGCTCCTTCAGGTAATACTGGACCGAGGCCGTTTAGGGCTTTAAAGGTCAGCACTACACCTTTGAATTGTGCTCGGAAACGGTACTGGGAGCCAATGCTAGTCCTTCAAGACCCGTGTTATACTGGTCTCGGCGGCCGCCCCCAGTCACCAGTCTAGCTGCCGCCATTCGGATTAGTTGTAGTTCCGAGTCACCTTCCAAGGTAGCCCTTGTGTGTGTATGGCAATAGGGCCAAGTGAGCTATATCAAGGCCCAGCCCTGCTCCTTCACGCATTGCAGCTGTCAGAATGCGTGACCTTGATCTCTTTGGAGAAATGGCAGGATGTAAATGCAAGAACGAAACACGCCCCGCCCCCCCGGTTCACTGTGGATTGAGCCTGATACTGAAGTTAAGGGAATCTTGTAGTTTTAGACAGATCATGAAAAACAGTAGGAGCCCTGAGAATCTGTGCTGAGGCACTTTGGAATGTACCATAGAGCATGGGTAGGCAAACGAAGGCCCGGGGGCCAGATCTGGCCCAATTGCCTTCTAAATCCGGCCCACGGATGGTCTGGGAATCAGCGTGTTTTTACATGAGTAGAATGTGTCATTTTATTTAAAATGCATCTCTGGGTTATTTGTGGGGGCTGCCTGGTGTTTTTACATGAGTAGAAAGTGTGCTTTTATTTAAAATGCATCTCTGGGTTATTTGTGGGGCATAGGAATTCGTTCATTCCCCACCCCCAAATATATAGTCCCGCCCCCCACAAGGTTCGAGGGACAGTGGACCGGCCCCCTGCTGAAAAGTTTTTGTGACCCCTGGTCTAAAGTATGCATGTTTTGCTTTTTAAAAATGGAAATTATCTTCCTGGTCAGGTTGAAGTAGGAGAGAGTTAGGAGCAGAGACTTTTGGGATCTATAAGGAAGGATTTATATGGTTTCTTGGCCTGCAGATTGCAAACTTAGAAGCGAAATTGTAAAACTTTTACAACCATGTACAACAGGAAGAAGGTTATCTAAATCTTTGTTTCGTTTCTGTTGTAATAAAATGAGCTTTTACTTTAAGAGAGAGAGAGCAAAATGAGGGAGCATACCGTCATGGGGAAAAGAAAGTACAACCTCTTTGAATTCTGTTGTATTATGTATCATCTGTTGTTATTATTATTGATTAACAACAACACATGACATATTAAACTGTGTCTTGCTTTATTTAACAAATATAAAGCCATAATGGAGAAGCCTTGTGTGGAAAATTAAGCACACATTGATGGCAGAAAGTGAGGAGGAATTAAAGAACCTTTTAATGAGGGTGAAAGAGGAGAGCGCAAAATATGGTTAGAAGCTCAACATCAAAAAAAGGAAGATCATGGCCACTGGTCCCATCACCTCCTGGCAAATAGAAGGGGAAGAAGTAGAGGCAGTGATAGATTTTACTTTCTTGGGCTCCATGATCACTGCAGATGGGTGACAGCAGCCACAAAATTAAAAGACGCCTGCTTCTTGGGAGAAAAGCAATGACAAACCTAGACAGCATCTTAAAAAATAGAGACATCACCTTGCCAACAAAGGTCCGTATAGTTAAAGCTATGGTTTTCCCAGTAGTGATGTATGGAAGTGAGAGCTGGACCATAAAGAAGGCTGATCGCCGAAGAACTGATGCTTTTGAATTATGGTGCTGGAGGAGATTCTTGAGAGTCCCATGGACTGCAAGAAGATCAAACCTATCCATTCTGAAGGAAATCAGCCCTGAGCGCTCACTGGAAGGACAGATCCTGAAGCTGAGGCTCCAATACTTTGGCCACCTCATGAGAAGAGAAGATTCCCTGGAAAAGACCCTGATGTTGGGAAAGATTGAGGGCACAAGGAGAAGGGGACGACAGAGGACGAGATGGTTGGACAGTGTTCTCCAAGCTACGAACACGAGTTTGACCAAACTGCGGGAGGCAGTGGAAGACAGGAGTGCCTGGTGTGCTCTGGTCCATGGGGTCACGAAGAGTCAGACACGTCTAAACGACTAAACAACAACAAAGCTACAGCAGCACAGGCGCAAAGATCGAGGGGCCTTGCGTGCATGCTGGCTTGCAACCCCCAAACCAGCCCTCGCCCCCCAACCCACCCCCACCCCCAGGCAGCGCGTCATCTCCAGACAAGCGGGCAAAGCAGCCGTAGCCACGCCCCCTGCCCTCCCTCCCCTGCCCGGGCTCGGCCGCTTCAGCGCCTGCATGCTTTTTTGGGAGGAGCAAGCGCACCAATCGGAGAGGAGTTGCCGACCTCTCAGCCAATGGGCGAACCCGGAGGCCGGCTCGGGTAGCCCAGGGCAGAAGCGCTGTGGCTCCTCGGTGACCGCGCAGAGGCATCGTGAAGAAAGAGCGTAGCCGGAGTTGCTGGCTGATTTCCACCCTCTCCCAATCGGTGCATCTGGGGGGGGTGCAAAAAAAGGTAACGCCGAGCAATTTCCTGCATGCTCCAGGGTTCCCCACGCCGCCCATCTCAGCATCCTAATTCATCGCGGTCCCCCGCCCCCCTTAACCTTGCAGCTCCCAGTCGGAGATGCTCAGAGGTGTAGCAAACCCTCTGGCAGCACCCTATTCCTCTTCGTGCCCCCCACACCCCTTTCGTATTTCCAGTCCCCAGAGCCTTCCCAATCGGCTCCCGACACTCCCCTCTTATCTCCTGTAATCCCTCTGGAGGAGCCTAGCTCAGCGTCGGGGAGCGCCGACTGCCGGGCATGCAGATGGTCTCAGGTTAGACCCCAGGCTTCTCCAGGGCAGGGAATGCCGCCCCCCTCTCCTAAAGCAAAAAATACCCCGGAGAGCCGTTGCGGGTCAGAGTCGACAGTGGTGAGCTGGGTGGCTCAAGGGTGCAAGGCTTGTGCGTCTGTTGCAAGGCTGCAACCTATACGCACTTACATGGAAGTAAGTCCCATTGATCTGCAGACTTCTGAGGAGCATGCCTTCAGCTGCACTGTAACTCCCCCTCCCCCTTTTCCATGCTCATTGTTGCTTAGGTGGGGGGAGAAAGAAGCTCCACCACTCTATCTCCCTCCCTCCCAGAGACCTGCTTTTGGGGGGTCCCGTGAGAATCAAAATTAGTTCTGTCTCTGCAACCCTTGTTCCTTCTTCACAGTTGCTTCTGTCCTAGCAACAGGGACGGTGGCCAGAAAACAGTGATGTTAGTCCCTTTAATTCTAGAGAGCTGTTTTTTCTCCTAGATCCCCGGATTACTAAGAGATCCCTTTTGATCACAGCTACTTGCCACACCTGTAGTGTGTAGCACAAGCTCCCTGAGTGAGCCTATCCACTGCCAATAGCTGCTTATTCCTTGCACTGGCCCTGTAAAACTATAAAATGGGGGTTGAATGTGCTGCTTTGGGGCATCTGATCCTGGGCCTGTGATATGCAAGGACAGGGTGTGTCTGGTTCCACTGACCCCTGGAAGCTATTGGGGAGCAACCTTTGCTATGTGCTCATTGGCTTTCCAGGGTGAATGCAAGGAACCTGGCTTAGTTATTTACCTTTCAACCCATAAAAGAACTTCTCTAAGTCATGCATAAGAAGTTAAATGAAAACTATTTTAAGATTATAATGGTGATGCAATGAAAGCATAAAGGAATGTTTAATGCACAATGCAGCAAGTTCCTTTTACACATTGGAAGAGCCAAGGCAACCTTGAGTTGGCCTTCCTAGCCCCAGTGTGGATGTGCTAGAATGCTGAACTGGACACCCAGATGGGTTTCACATTGGTTGTATACCAGTTTGCCACACACAACGTACGCAGCAGTCTACTGTGGAGCTGCTGTCCCAGGGCCTGCTTGTCTTCATGGTTGAGCCTCTGGGGTTGCAAGCAGAAGGTCTCAGGTTCAACCTCTGGCATCTCCAGGTAGGACTAGGAATGTCTTCCACCTGAAATCCCAGGAGCACAGCAGCGGTGAAGGGTTAAAGCCCAACAAGCTCTATTTGCTTTCAAAATGTTATCCATGCAATTGCTGAGTGTGTAAATAGAGTCAGGCCTGGTCACTCCAATACTGGGAGACTTGTTGGAGCCAGTCTTTGTAGACTGGCCACTAACATGACCTGTGTTCTGTTGCCGGCAGGTTGACATGGGCTACGTGTATGGTGATAAACTTGAAAGTCAATTCATTTGTGCAGTGAATCTGTCCTGACGACTGACTGCACTGCTACCTCTTCTGGTTTTATGTTTTGTGATTTGAAAGCCGGTTTCAAGCACGTGTGTGTGTGTGGTGTGTGTGCATGCGTGCGCATGTGTATAGACCTCTGCTGGTAAAGCTAAAGGGACCCCTGACCATTAGGTCCAGTCGTGGCCAACTCTGGGGTTGCGGCGCTCATCTCGCTTTACTGGCCGAGGGAGCCGGCGTACAGCTTCCGGGTCATGTGGCCAGCATGACTAAGCCGCTTCTGGCGAACCAGAGCAGCGCACAGAAACGCCGTTTACCTTCCCACCGGAGCGGTACCTATTTATGTACTTGCACTTTGACGTGCTTTCGAATTGCTGGGTTGGCAGGAGCAGGGACTGAGCAACAGGAGCTCACCCCGTCACGGGGATTCGAAACCACCGACCTTCTGATCGGCAAGTCCTAGGCTCTGTGGTTTAACCCACAGCGCCACCCGCGTCCCCTCAGCTGGGTTATCCTTTGTCAAATACCATGGAAATGGGAGTGGGCTGGTTAAGCAAAACTATTCTAGTCCATTCCTGGCCTGAGGTACTCATGAACCCACGTGAAGAGCTGGGCAGGACTTTGGGAGGCATCCACAAGTTCACCTTCCAAGAGTTGAGGTATCTTGCTGAGGTTTGTAGGTATGAATTTCTGCAAGAAAGAGAGCTGCCTCTGCAGTTCAGGCACCCACATGGGGCATGTTAGGTTGAAGGTCCTTGGACTAGGCTGGGAAGCCTGTGGCTCTTCAGATGTTGTGGGCCTCCAACTCCCATCAGTCTCATCCAACGTGCTTATTGGTTAGAGACAAAGGCAGTTGTAGTCCAGCAATATCTAGAAAGGGGCAGGTCCGGCTTGAAGTTTCCCATAGGCATCCGGGTGGCCACAGTGAAATCAGGATGCCAGAGACCCAGCAGGACTCTTCTTAGGTCTTAAATAAAGTATGTTTAGGATTGCAGCCTTCATCTGGACTGACGGTCCTGCAGCCACGAACATGGAATCCAATTTTTGCTCTGTTCTTAAGCGTGGATGCATTGAAAGAATGGAGAAAAAGAAAATGATCTGTCCTTTTATCCCCCTGATGGCTATTCGATAAGGTGGTTAGAGATATGAAAGAGTGATTAGTCTGCATAAAGTGTCCTTTTAGCATGCAGAAGAGGGGCTCCTCTCCATCCTCTGTCGCTGGGCCTGGCTTTCCGTTGGGCTGAGAGATGTCCCTTCTGTTGCTATGGAAACCTCTCCGGTGATGTGTTTTGGCAAATCTCTGGCTCTCCGTAGAATTTCATTAGCTGGGGGCTGGGGAGAAGCAGTTTGGGGGTGTGGATAAAACCTAGATTGTTACTAAACATTCACACTCTCCTCCCTACCCCCAACAAGAGGATGTTTGGGTCTGATCAGATGTTTCTCCCTTTCAGTTAGTGATGGTTTTGAGGAGAATCTATCTCATGTGTAAGACAAGGGTAAAATGTGTGTGTGTGTGTGTGTGTGTGTGTGTGAGAGAGAGAGAGAGAGAAGAGAGAGAGAGAGAGAGAGAAGGTGTCAGATTATCTCCCCATTTCACTGCCATATAACTGATTGTGTTCCCACTAAATACATTACTGGGCTTTCTGCCAAAAACACTGTACTGACCATGGGGGGAAATGGCCACTTGGCTTGATTCTTGCATTGTCCACATAGCAACCAACCTATAGGTCACCTTGGACAGCAGGGGAGAATAAATTCAGGCCACATCTGCACCAGACATTTAAAGCACTATTAGGGTAAAACAGTAAAGGACCCCTGGACGGTAGAATCCAGTCAAAGGCAACTACAGGGTTGTAACGCTCATCTCGCTTTTAAGGCCGAGGGAGCTGGCGTTTGTCCACAGACAGCTTTCTGGGTCATGTGGCCGGCATGACTAAACCGCTTCTGGCGCAATGGAACACTGTGACGGAAACCAGAGCACACGGAAACGCTGTCTACCTTCCTGCCGCAGTGGTACCTATTTATCTACTTGCACTGGCGTGCTTTCGAACTGCTGGGTTTGCAGAAGGCTGGCACAGAGCAACAGGAGCTCACCCTGTCACACTGTTATACCACTTGAACAATCACTGCTTCCCCCAAAGCATTCTGGGAAGTGTAGTTCATTAAGGGTGCGGAGTGTCATGAAGAGGCCCTCGTTCCCCAGAGTTCCCTGGGGAAAGGGATTAAGCCACTCTGAGAATTGCAGCCCCAAGAGGCAGACTGGGGTCTTCTAACAACTCTTGTCAGCCTTAACAAACTACCGTTCCCAGGATTCTTTGGAGGAAGCCATAAAGCAATATAACAGTACTTTAAATGTCTGGTGGGGAAGAGGCTTCAGGTGCCAGAAAGATGAGCCTGAAGACCTGTGGCCCTGTCTGCAGACAGAGACAAATTATTTCATGAGGCGTTCTCCCCAATAATAATAGTAATAATAGTAATAGTAATAATAATATAAATAAATAAAATAAATCCCTTGCTCATATTGGCTCAGTTTCCTTCTAACTAGGGCACATTTCCTATTTGATGCCATTGTAACGATTGTAAGGTGATTGCTATTATTATTATTTATTAAATTTGTATACCGCCCTATGCCTGCAGGTCTCGGAACGGTTCACAAGATAAAAATAGCAATATAAAAACATAAAATAAGTGATAAAAATGATTTTTTTTAATTGTTCGTATTATACTGGAACAATACTGCCCTGGAAACCGTTGGGTTTTAGGCCGAGATGTCAGGGCATGGCCATCGCCAGGATTTATTTTTTTGGAGGGGGCAGGCTTTATGTGGGGGGAGCAGAACCAAGTTATCTGCAACGCAATTGGTCAGTTAAGTATTTTTATTTATTTACTTGATTGGGGGGGGGGGCAGCTGCCACCCTGCCCTCCCAGCTACGCTCATGTGCCAGGGTATAAAATAAATTTGGGAGTCTGGCCCATTTTTCACCCAGGGAAGCACAAAGGGAACATTTTCCCTCTGGTGTACTTCTGCCCAGCGCTTGTAACAAATCCCCCACCCCTTTCATTTTTTCGTGTCTCCCCTCCTGCATTCCCATTTTTTAATGAGAGCAGGAGGAGTAAAAGAAGAATCTGTCACCTTTTGTCTCTTGAGGCTGCTTTCCTGAGTTGTTCTTCTCGGCCACCCCTTGCAAGCCTGCTACAAGGGGCGTTAATTGGGTTGTTGCTTTTAATTTTGATCATATATTTTGTGGTTTTACATTGTGAACTGCCCTGAGACCTCCGGGTATAGGGCGGTATATAAATTCAA